TCTTTTTTTTTTTTTTTAAGATTTATTTATTTATTTTATATGAGTACACTGTAGCTGTCTTCAGACACCAGAAGAGGGCATCAGATCTCATTACAGATGGTTGTGAGCCACCATGTGGTTGCTGGGATTTGAACTCAGGACCTCTGGAAGTGCAGTCAGTGCTCTTAACCACTGAGCCATCTCTCCAGCCCCGTGGTTGATTTTCAACATGCTCTAGTTTAGAAAAGGACTTTGGAATTTTTTTCTAAATTGCAAATAGAGTTGTCATTGGTGATTATTTGGAAAATACAATTAGACTGGTTATGTATCATCTGAAAGGTAACTAAAGTTATTGATATTGTTATCTGTTACTAAATTTTTTTAAAGGAAAATAAATGATTTTAATGGAAAATGCTTGCTTAGTTTAACTAAACATTTGTCTCAAAAAGATGTTTATAGATGACAAACTTAGGAACCGTGTAAATAATGCTGGACAATGGTGGCACACACCTTTAATCCTCTGCCCTCAGGAGGCAGAGGCAGGCAGATCTCTGGGTTCTAGGCCAGCCTGGTATATGAGTGAGTTCCTGGACAGAAAGAGCGCTATACAGAGTAATCCTGTCTTCAAAACAAAGCAAAAAATGTGAAAATGTTCTGTTCTCTTCAGGAGTTAGCTTTATATAATTTTTTTGTATCATTATCCACATAAACTTTGCTATATACTGTCTTTGGCAGTTTCAGGATGAGCTTACAATCAGAGAGCTATGTTTTCTTTTGTCTGTTGAAGATTGGTATCTGTAGAGACTTGACTTTTTTTTTTTTTTTAAAACAGTGTAGAGGGTTTTTATTTTTTGTTGTTTTTTATTTTTTTTAATTTTTTTTAGTATTGGGTATTGAACCTGGGACTTTGTGATGTTTTTATACTGTAGAACAGTCTCTTACCATGTAGCCCATGTGCTTCCACACTTGAGATCCTCTGGCCTCTCTACTTGGTGCATGTGTGCCCCTCCACGCTCTGTTTTATTGAGTGCTTCTTGACAACAGCCAGAGCTGTTCATTTCCCTTGTACAGTAAGGGGACTGTGACTGAAGACTACGTTCAGTTCAGACTTTTGAGTGTTGGGGCTGCCTAGACCCCAAAGGTCTGGACTCCATGATCTAGTGTGGAAGGGGAAAGAACAAAAGTTCTTTTGCTTATCTAATACAGTGTGTGTATGATTTGCTGTTGTTGTAATTTAGCAAATAATACCCACCATTCCTAACTTCTGGAATGTTCTTATTTAGGTGAGACGTGGAATCCATTAAAATTGCATTATCAGTTAAGAAATGTACGTGAACGATTAGCTAAAAACCTGGTAGAAAAGGGTGTACTGACGACAGAGAAACAGAACTTCCTCCTGTTTGACATGACGACACATCCTCTCACCAATAACAACATTAAGCAGCGCCTCATCAAGAAGGTCCAGGAGGCTGTTCTTGACAAATGGGTCAATGACCCTCACCGAATGGACAAGCGCTTGCTGGCCCTCATTTACCTAGCCCATGCCTCGGATGTTTTGGAAAACGCTTTTGCTCCTCTTCTGGACGAGCAGTATGATTTAGCCACCAAGAGAGTACGGCAGCTTCTCGACTTAGACCCAGAAGTGGAGTGTCTGAAGGCCAACACCAGTGAAGTTCTCTGGGCTGTGGTAGCTGCGTTTACCAAGTAACTGTCAGAATGCAATACTTCCTTTTTCTCATGTGAACCAGTAGTTTTTCTTCTATTGACTCTGGTTTTCTGCAGTTTGTACTTTCCCACACTAATAATTGGCTTTTGTTCTACAAAAATGGTGGGTGGCTATTTCTTTTTGTATGTACGCAGGGTTCTGCTGGTACGAGAGGCCTTCCTCTTTCTGTTTGTAACCAACCTTATTGCCATATTGGCGTTCCATTCCCTATTGCCATTCTCACTGTTCCTGTGTTGGGTTTCTGGTGTACTTTGACTTTCAGAGTACCTCCAGTCACCCACCTCATGCACAGCGTTTGGATTACCTCAGCCTGAGTTTTCCCACATGTGCTTACTCACCTGGCCTTCTGCCTACAGTTCAGATAAGTCACAACAAGGCCTTCAACTCACCAAAGGTAAATATCTGTATCTATTAGGACATTTTATACACAGACCTCAGTTGAGATGTATACTTAGCAAAATTATTTTTAAATTGAAACAGCACAGTAAATACATAATATAAAATGCCCCTTGAATTTTTGCTTCCTATGTAAATCTGTTGTATGATTACAGTTGTTATAATTTTAGCTATTAAATCATAAAGGTCCAATTGTTTCACAAAGCCAGTTTGGGATGGGCTGCATTCCACTTATGCTGTATATAGTTTGAATTATATATGAATCGCCCCTTCTTCTGGCCACCTCTGCTTCATTTTAGTATTTTGAAAATTTTAATTGTGCATCTGGTGCCCCTCCCTTGCTTCATTCATTGTTATTTGATGGCAAAATAGACCTCTCATCACTGAAGGAGAGAGAAGATGTGTGGCCCTTTCAGGGCTCGTTGTGAGCTGTGCCCCTCATAGTGCATCTCTTTTGGGACTTTTTTTTTTCCTTCACTTTTCCTGTTTTTATGAATTCTGTAGGAAAGAGGCTTGTGACCAGTACTAATCTTGAGTGCAGTTTTTTTGTTTTGTTTTCCACTTTTTTGTCCTCAAGTAAATTAATGTCTGCTCTGAAATAGCATTTATCTACTTATCTTTTCTTGGGGAAAAGAAAATTGGATATCAGTCCTAGCAGATGTTGCATGTAAATTGGTAGCAAGTAACTACTACAGCTCAAGACGATTAAGAATTTTGTAACAGAAAGCTCTGCTGTGTTTTAATTTTTATATACAATTATGATCATTAGCACACCATAAGACTACAAACCTCTGCTTTTTAATGTTGATTTTATTCATTATCACTGTTTATTTACTATTGGTTTCATAATGTAAATACTATACATTGAACAAATTAAATGTCAAAAAATTTTTATTACTATAGTTCATGTTGATAGTGGGGCTTTCAGGTGTCTAGAAACTTTTGGTTAACATTTGATGCAAAAATACTAGATGCGGATAACTTTAGAGTTGAGTTTTAAGGGACTCCCTAATATGTATACTATCTTTTTATCTGGAGTAATAAATAAATAAACTATGATCTTGAAAGTGCCTGAATCAGAGCAAGCATGTCATTTGATTTTTGTGTTCTCATTTTCTTGGCTTTGGTGAAGTTTTACTTAGTATGGCACAGTAACATTTCAACTGCAAGGCTTGGGAAACTGTCTTAAAAGAGCCAGATAGGAAATACTTTAAATTTGGCATGCCACATATGTTTGTTCCAGAAACTCAATTCTGCCGAGTGAAAGCTGTCACTGACAATTCAAATAAAAGGGGGTAAAACACTAGAAAAGCAGGCAGTGTGTTTGCCACCACATGGATTTGCCATCCCCTTTATAGTGATGTTTAAGGGAAATTAAAGAATAAATTAAGAATATTTAATTTTGTTATTTTATGAGTTTTTTTCCTGCATACTGTGTATTAGTACTCTGGGAGTGCCTGCCAGAGGCCAGAAGAGTGCATCAGGTGTGAGCCGCCATGTGGTGCAGGGAACTGTATGTACCCAGGTAGGTCCTCCGAGAGAGCAGTGAGTACTCTTAACTGCTGAGCCATTTCTCTGGCCCCCATAGGCTAACCCACCCCTCCCCCTCCATCTCCCCCTCCCTCCCTTCCCCCCTCCCCGTTTGTTTTTGAGACAGGGCTTCTCTGTGTAGCTCTATCTGTCCTGGAACTCACTCTGTAGATCAGGCTGGCTTTGAACTCAAGAGCCTTTCCTACCTCTACCTCTGGAGTGCTGGGATTAAAGGGGTATGCCACCAGCGTCCAGCTATACTGACTTTTTTTTTGGGTGTGTGGGGGGGGAGGTGAAACTTTTACTGTTTTTCTTTTGCAGGATTTTAGAAGTAAAGTAACAGGAAGAATAGATGTCTGTAATGGACTTGCTTAGACAGTGCTACATAGGCAGTAGGGCTCTGACCTGCACCTCTGTGTGTATTTCAGGATGGAGTTTTCACTTTGCTCAGCCTGTGAGTAGCTCCAGTACCAGAAAAGAAACGTCTACATCAGAAATCATTGCTTATCTGTCTGCCTGTCTCTCTGTTTCTTTATCTCTAACTCATCTCATCTTTATCTCATGTCAATCTCTTTTTCCTGTCTTGATGTCTTGGAACTCACTGTGTAGACTGGGCTGGCCTTGAGCTCACAGAGATCCTCTCATTTCTGCCTCCCAAATGTTGGGATTAAAGGAGTGCTCCACCAAGTCTGGCAGGAGCCTCTTCAAAACAAGAATGATAGTTCTTTAATAGAAATCATTATTCTATGTGCTGGGACTAGTATTTCCTTCTGCTCATGTCAGTTAAAAGCTGTTATCCCAAGATGGCAGCAGCAGTGGATTTTTATAATTCGGCCCGTGTGGGTGTTTGTTTATCCGAGAGTGAACAGTTAACTATTTTCTTTTGGCTTCATCATGCAGTGTTTAACAGATGAGCTTTCTGTTAAAAACAAAACAAAACAAGCCTGAACTGTGCCGTGGTCTAACAGAGGCTGTGTGAAGACATTCTCTGTGCTGCCGAAGGCCGGTCTGCAGAGGACGGACGGTCGGTCGGCTCAGTTTCATATATCTAGAAGCTCTTTAAGCTTTGATCCCAGGTGACTGAGTAAAACAGGGATGGCATCCAGTTACAGCTTTCCTTTCTTGCTTGGGTGCCAGTAGGAAGCTGTTTCCTCTGAGAGACAACCAGAGCCACAGATATGCAAACAGTTCTTCAGGCAGTTCATAGGATATGCTGGTGTAACTTATTTAATGTGAGAAATGGGCTTGGTTTTAGAGAAAGCATAAATATGTTAAAGGGCCAAGAATACTACTGCTCTGAGGCAGAATTGACTAGGAACTTCGGATTTATTCTGTCATTAGGCCTTCTTGTTATTTGTGAACAGGTGTGTCTATGTTTTTTAAAAAAATGATTGGTTTTTAAGTACACTGATTTAGTTGCACATATGTTTGTGTGAGGATGTCGATCCCCGGAACTGGAGTTACAGTTGCAAGCTGCCATGTGGGTGCTCAGAATTGAACCCAAGGTTCTCTGAAAGAGCAACCAGTGCTCTTCACCGCCAAGCCATCTCAGACCCCAGGAGGGCATATAACTGTAAGTGCCTTAACTTTCGTCACTCAAAAAAGAAACATGGGTCTAGTGAGCGCTACCTGTCAGCCTGTTGATCCCAGGGTTCACGACTGCCAGCATGGCCAGCCTTGTCCCAGCAGCCTGGGAAATATGAGTCATGCATTTGTGTGAGATCTTTATGAAGTTCATTTAACTCCCAAATGTGTGGTCTCTGCATTGTGTATTGTTAGAGCTGTCGCCAGTTAAAGCACTCTGCCCGCCTTTCATCATGTTGAATAGGACCAACAGACTAGTCCATCCCAGCCCACTGAGCCCTGGAGTTCGAAGACTTACCTACCTTGTAAGGCCAGTGAGCCATGTTTTGAGCAACATTGGCAGAGTGTTGCGTCTTAACCTTGTGCTCTTCAGGGAGCTGATACGGGTGATGACATGGTTTTAATTGTGCACATACTCTCAGCCTAATTTGGGTGTGCATTTACACTCATAGAGTGGATAGACACCAAGTACCGCTGAAGTGCAGTGTGCTTAAGGAAGCAGCATCTTTTTGAGTGGCTCCATTGTATAGCTTAGCTCCGGACAGTGGGTATTCAGATCCCTCCCTCACACTTGGTTATTGGGAAGTAGTCTTGTGAGTGCAACTTCATATCTCTCTGATGTCTGTAGGAGAAATTCACAGAAATGGAGTGCATGGAAGAATAAACACTGAAAATAACAAATGAGGTCCAGCTGGTTTCTAAGCTCTGTGCTGACTTAACTCCCTCCAGCAGTAACATGGATGTTGGCCTCTGCACTCCGTATGTAGACGGCATCATCAATGTTGGCTTTTGCTTAGCCCCTATGGCAGAACCAGCAAGCCGTTATTGTTTAGTATCTTTATTGGTGGTTTGCATTTTTGTTGCAGATTTTGATTTGTTCCTCCTATTTTGTAATGAGCCTTATTATATATTCATTTGCCAGGACTTAATCCTGTGATTGCAATATGGTTGATTTTCTCAGTCTTTAGTGTTGGCATGATACTTTCTTTTTTCTTTAATATCAGGAAAGTATAACATACAGGGCTTGAATATGGAACCAGTGGAGTTGTTTCTTTTTTAACTGAATTTTATGTATATCATGTATGTGAATGTTTTGCTTGCCTATGTGTCTGTACCATGTGTGTGCCTGGTGCCACAGAGGACAGAAGAGGACGTCCTGCCTCCTGGGACATGGAGCTACAGATGATTATGAGTCGCCATGTAGGTACAGCGAATTGAACTTGGCTCTTAATCAGAGCCATCACTGGACCCAGTTGTCATACTGAAGATACTTGCCTGGTGGTTAGATTATAGATTAGCTATTCTTCTTCAGGAGATATGATTGATGGGAAACCAAATATGGGTTATGGACATACCTACATATGAATATTTTACTAAAAGTAAGGTTAAAGTACAAAAAAGCATAGGGTAATGAGTTCAGGCAGATATACTTAAAGCTTGTTATTTGGGTCACAAGACAGCCTTGGGAGAAGGTGTTGAGGGGCTCCCCCCAATTTCAGCCTTCCTAACACAGGTGTGTCTTTGATTTCCCTTTTTCTTCTCAGGTCTTTCATTTCTTTTTAAATCTGTAAGTTCTCTCTGAATGTTTCCCATTTTTTTCTTGAAAAACAGTTGTTCATGACACTGTCCTATGGAGGTCCCTAAAAGTTCAGACTTTTCTGATTGCATCTTGCATGGTGTAACTTAAGTGCTAAGATTTTTTTTTTTAAATCAGGAACTGGGAATTGGCTCTGGAGGGTGTTCGGGGTTTGGTTTCCTTGTGTCAGTAAGACCGTTTCTAGTGGTGATGTGTACTTCCATAAGGAGGCACATACATACTACCTTTGTGACATCCACCTGGTAATGAATTCTCATTCTGGTTTCTGGTTGTCTTCCTCTGCACTTTCCCCTTCCCATATAAAGGCTTTCCTCTATTGGTTCCCTCTCCCTTTTTGAGACAGCTGCCTTGAAACTCAGTGTGTAGCCTGGGTGTCCTCCTGCCTCAGTCTCCTGAATGCTGGAATTATAGCTGTGAGCCTCTCCCCAGCTAATCCTGGAGTGTATTGGGATTGTGGAGTTACGGTATTCTAAGTCTTGCCATGTCATCTTTATTACCTAGGTGTATTACAGGAAGATCATCTCCATTACCTTCCTGCACACTGCACAGAGGAAAGGTAGCATACATTCTTAGAGCTCACTTGCCTATTTGCAAAGAAGAGTTGGTCTCCTGATACTGTCTAAAGAATGTATGACATCAGAAACTGAGCGATGGCTCAGCTGTTGAGAGGACTTGCAGAAGACCAGGTTTTGGTTCATAGAACACATATTGGGTGCTTGCTTACATACAGCCATCTGTAACTTCAGCTTTGGGGGATCCAGTGCTCTCTTCTGGCTTCCATAGCTACCTGTACACACGGATGCACGTAAAAAAAAGCCAGCTGTTTATAGCTGTGTACCTATAGTGTATATAAAAATACATATTTATAGTTGCTTAATAGCTGTGTACATCGTGTAGTACAATAGATACTCTATGTGTTCTTTTATCCACATTAATATTCAAATTTCCTATCTTTAGACAATTGTCTTCAAAGATCTTTTTAAGAACCATTTTCTGAGGGGCTGGAGAGATGGTTCAGCAGTGAAGAGCACTAGCTGCTCTTCCAGAGGACCTGAGTTCAATTCCTATCGCTTCCATAGTAGCTCACAACTGTCTGTAATTCCAGTTCTGGAGGATCTGAGACCCTCACATAGACATACATGCAGGCACATAAAAATAAGAAAAAGAAAAAAATTTCTGTCTGGATGAATACAGACAGTTCTGTTAACTCCTGTGTGTGCGGGAGAGGGAGGGGGAGGGGGAGAGAGAGAGAAGAAAAGGGAGAGGGAGAACACGTACATACCTGAGTGCCACTCAAGTGTGGCGGTCACAGTATACCTTTCAAGAGTTGCTTCTTCCGCCTTGGGTTCTGGGGATCAAAATCAGGTCAG